GGAGCCTGGAGATGAAGGGTAGTCTGATGGACTGAGGCCCTCTGCCAGGGGAGCTTGGTGCTGTTGGGTCGGCAGGTCTTCAAAGGGGCCTTGAGATGTTATCGGGTCCGGCATCGAGGGTGTGGGATGTAAGGATAAGGCCTCATGAACTCTGTCTCGCATTCAAGTTAGCGGAATTGGCTTAGATGGGGCAGGAGGGCGTACAGACGGAGCCGAAATTGTTGAGGCCAAAGTGGTCACGCGGAGGCGATTCGAGCCCACGAAGGGGACGGCATGGGGAAGTTCCGGCGTCGTTTGGGGCCTTTTAGCCTGTTCAGGCTGGTACCTTTCGTACAGGGTTTGCCAGATGAAGGGATCAAAATGGTATGGTACCATTGGAAAGGGGCATAAATCGCCTTGCGATGGCACAGACCTCGGTGGGGAGAGGTGCTTTCGTTTCTCCATTCTCTTCCGTGGAGGTGAAGGGGGAAACTCCAGATCGGATGCCGAGCTTTCAGCTGCCCGCCCTGAGTCAGGGTTGGAGTGGGCAAGGCCGGGCTGGACTGTGGCACAGCCGCAATGAGGCCAATGCTTGGGGTTTGGAGCGGCATTGTGGGGGGCCCCGCGACATCATGGGCTTCATCTCCATCCGAGGGCAAGTTAGGTGCTTCTCTGGATGATTCCTCGAGGATGGGGGAAGGCAGAGAAAGCTGAGGGGGCTCCACTCGGGGAAGCCTGTCCTTTCTAGGCCTCTTAGGGGCGGGTTTAGGTTTTTTCTTCGAGCTTGGATCGTGCGCTCGAGACTTCTGAGAGGAGGGCAACTTGTGCTTACCAGACGATTTTGCTTTCTCAGCAGTGTCCTTAGCTGGTAGCACAGAGGTAGAGTCAGAAGTAGACTGGCCTGCTGGAAGTCTGTCGGCTGAAACGGCAGAAGATCTAGCCGCTTCTGAAGACGCAATAGGAGGATTCATGGCTGTTTGCCAAAGGTAAGACCGATGTCTTTGGAGCCTCTGTTAAAGTGCTGGCTTGGTTAAGTTTTTACAAGCAGGGCACGAATGGGTCGGATGTTCCTCGCCCAAACAAAAAAGGCACTGGCTATGACCGTCCGAAAGTGCAATTTTATTCGCACAGGTCGTACATTTAAAAGGAGACGGCAGGGCCATAAGCAAAGGACTGGGGGGGGAAGGGGAAAGGAAAGGGAATAAAAAGACTGCGGGAAACCGATTAGGCAAACAAAAGACGCAGAGGATCACTAAGTAGGTAATTTAGAGTAAAAATAAATAAACAAAAGCTCAAAAGAGCCTAGAAAAATAGGCAAAAGGTGAATAGCGAAGTGCTCAATCTTTCCTGAGAACCATTCAGCTCGGTGGAAAAAAGGAACTGGGGAAGATGGTGGGTGGGAGGAGCATATACCTCGTGGAGGATTACACCATACAATTGTTACTTTTAGCTCTAGAATCTTCCGAGAGAGTCAGCACAGGCGCAGACAATACCCATATGTGTGCATTCACAGAGGCCACGAAAAAGAAGAGAGTTAGTGAATTGAGCTGAGAGTGTTAGGAGAGGAAATTGAGAAGTTTAAACAATATTGAACAAGCGGGAATGAAAGTATAAACACTACAAGAGAGATATTGATTGAAAGTATACAGCAGTTCGGAATAAAAGAGATTGCCTACATGATCCAATACGTGTTAACACCTGAAACAGTTCATATGTGATTTACCTTTATGATTTGTTTGACAATAAAAGAATACTTAATTAAACCTCTGATTCCTACATTCTATAACCCTTAGTGTTGGCAGCACACGTGTATGACATAAGTTGGTATTAGGAGAATACCTGGTGGCAGCGTGAAAAGGCGTGTTCCTTTGTGAGGGCCAAATAAATAGGGGCAACAAACGGAAGATCACCATAGTGTGTCCCTGAGGGCAAGCAGCTGAGATGATCTGCCGCGAAGTTGTCTTCTGTCGAAATGAGTACTGCTATGGGGAAGATGTGGTTCTGACAGCACCACTCCCATAGATAGACAGCAAGGTACAAATGGGAGAAAGAATGGGTACCTCCCTTCTTGTTGACATAATATAGCGCTGTTGTGTTGTCCATTGTGAGTTGAACAACCTGATCTTTGATGAGAGGGAGGAATGCATGGAATGCTCTGATGACTGCTAGCAGTTCTAGGTGACTGATGTGAAGAGTCTGTTCTCGTTTTGACCATAGGACGTGGACCTTTTGATGAAGGCAGTGTGCTCCCCATCCTGAAGGGCTGGCATCGGACATGACCTGTACCGTTGGTTGAAGAGGGGAGAAAGGCCGTCTGATCAGAAGGTTTGGAAGGTAAGCCCACCATTCGAGTTGATCTGCTAGTTCCTGGGTAATGGTCAGTTATGTGGATGGAGAGTCTGTCATGGAGTCGAACAAGGACAGGAGCCAAGCCTGCAGGGCTCTCATCTTGAGTTTTGCATGCTGTATTACCAACGTCGTTGAGGCCATGAGGTCGAGAAGGTGTTATGCGTGGTGGGCAGACACCTTTTTTTAGGTCGAAAGGGTGTAATTGCCCTGTTTATTTTCAGAATTCTTTCCTGTGGAAAGAAAGCTCTGGCTTGAAGTGAGTTTAGTTCGGCACCGATAAAGGTGACTGTTTGGCATGGTTGTAGATGAGACTTTGTGAGGTTGATGTTGAGCCCGAGCCTTTGAAGTATCTGGAGAGTGGTATCTCTTGCTGCCATGGGATCAAGGTATGATGTCAAGATGATGAGCCAGTTGTCAATGTAGGGGTAGAAGTTTACACCCTGAAGGCGTAGGAAGGCTGCAATTGGTGCCATACACTTTGTGAAGGTTCTTGGGGCTGTACACAGTCCAAAGGGGAGGGAGCAGAATTGGTACACAACATTGTTGAATAGGAACATGGTGTATTTTTGATCGGAAGGATGTATCGAGATACGGAAGTAGGCGTCCCATAAGTCGATTATGATAAACCAATCTCCCTGTGAAAATAAGGGGATAATAGTGTCCAGCGTAAGCATTCAGAATTTTTGAGGTTGAATGAAATTATTAAGATGTCTCAAATCAAGGATAGGACGGAGTCCTCCGTCCTTCTTTGGAACCTTGAAGTATTTTGAATAAAAGCCATCGTGCCAATCAAGGGGTGACACTGGAATAATAGCATGTTTGGATAGGAGAGCAGAGACTTCCTCTTGGAAAGTGGAAGAGAATGGTGTAGAGCGGATAAACCCCAAGGGGGGCAGATCATCATGTAATGTAACCATGGCCAATGATGGAAAGAACCCATTTATCATTTGTAATACTGTAGTATGCCAGTGATGGAGAAATGGTGCCGATCTAATCTGAAAGAGGACTTGTAAAGGCGGAAGGGGGCAAAATTTTTGAAATGTTTCATTAATATGGCTTACCCTTTCTTTGGCCTTTGCGAAAGGGTTGATGTTGGCGTGGCTGGCCCTGGGAACGAAAGGACGGCATCAGTGCTTGTGGATTTGTAGGAGACCTCTCAGACTGCTGAGTACGATACTGTTTGTATGGATGGAATCACTGGTATTGGTACTGTAGGTAAGACCGTGGGTATGATTGGTTGGTTTGGTATTGAGATTGTTGGAATCCAGAAAATTGCTGGTATGAGTAAGATTCTGCTGTTTTACGTATCTTGTGGATGATTTCCATGGTCTCATCAGTTTTGAGGTTGAAAAGGCCCATACCATCAAAGGCGAGATCTTCGATTCGTGCCTTGGTTTCATCTGACATCATGGAAGATCTTAGCCAGGCATGGCATCGAATGGAGATAGCTGCATTTTTCTGGTGTTTAGCAAGGGCTATAGCTTCGGAATGAGTGTTGATTAAGTCAGTTTTTATAGATTCTGGTGCTAATTCAAGAAGGGGTAGAACCTTGTTCCAGAGGTAGTGCTGACATGCCCCCATTGTGGCTTGATAGTTAATATTTCTTAACAAGAATGATTGTAGAGAATAGATCCTTCTGCCCAGGATGTCTATTTTCCTTCCCTCTTTATTCTTAGGAGTAACTTTGGATCTATTGTGGCCACGAGATTGGCTGGACTCCACTATTATCAAATTAGGTAGGGGGTGCTTACTGAGAAACTTGATGTCGACACCATGGGTCTTGTAAAGGTTGACAGTTCTTCATGAAATCTGCATTGTGGAAGGTTTATCCCAGGTTTCTTTGAAGAGTTTTAGCACATATTTGTTGAAAGTCAAGCTGAGTGGAGGGGATCTCTCCTAGTTAATGTCGTCAAACACCGTGCCCACCTTTGGTGACGGTGGTTATTCAGTATTAAGTTGTAGTGTTCAAGCCATCCTGGATATAAGTTGGGAGTATGAAGAGAACTCCTCCGAGGGGAAGGAAGGTTGATTATGCTTCGTGTCATCAGGAGGGGTAGGGAGATCCAGGGATGAATGGGAAGGAACTTCGGAGTGATCATCCTCAGATGAGGAGAATGAGTCAGGCGATGATGGATAGCCCGGGTCGGGAAAAAGAGGAAGAGGTTCATGATACAGAGGCTCTTGAACTTCTGCAGGCTCCAAAGGGTTTTGAGTAATGTGTAGTGATTGAGACGGGATCAAGTGATCGTGCTTCTTTGATCTCGACATTGACTTAGATCGTTTAGAGGGTTTAGTTGAGATCAATGTCGAGGCAGGCGGTGTGGATTTTCAAGATTGATGTCGACTCTTAAGTGAAGGTGGTTGAGAGTGATCCGGTGTACAATCAGCCCGTTTCTGTTGTTCGGAATGGTATTTTTTGTAGTGAGATTGCCACAGGGATGGGTCAAAAAACTGATATGGCATCATGGAGAATGGGAAGCAATCTCCATTTGCCGTCATAGGTCCTGGTGGCGAGAGATGCCTCCATTTTTCTGTATGCTTTCTAAGAAAGGAAGAAGGTGTGTCAGGATTGGATGCTGAACTTTCAACTGCCTGCCCTGATGCAGGGTTGGAATGGGCAGAGGCCAGGCTGGCCGGGGGAGCAGCTGCAAAGAGGCCAATGTTTGGTGTCAAGTTCAATGCCACGGTAGAGACTGTAAGTTGTTGAGCCTCATCTCTGTCAGAATTTGAGTTGTGAGCCTCTATCAAAGATTCCTCTAAGATGGGCGAGGGTAGAGAAGGCTGAGAGGATTTGTCTCGCTTAGACTTTTTTTTACAGATGACTTAGACTTCTTTTTCTCAGTGAGATCGTGCGCCCGGAAAGATGATTTAGCAGTAGAGGACGATCTTTGTTTAACAGCAGATTTGGTTTTCTCTGCAGGCTCCTTGGTTGGTAAAACAGATGCCCCTGATTCAGAAGCGGGCTGTCCTGAAGCGAGCCTTTTGCCTGCTGAACTGGGGGATCTTACCACCTCCGTGGATGGTGTAAGAGGGTTCATCGCCGTTTGCCAGAGGTAAGATTTCAGCCTCTGCAGTCTTTGCTTCAATACTGGTCTTGTTAGATTTTTACAGGCGGCACAAGAATGGGTCGGGTGATTTTCGCCCAAACAGAAGAGGCACTTATTGTGACCGTCTGAGAGAGCGATTCTGTTCGCACAAGTAATGCAGCATTTGAAGGATGCCGGAGAGGCCATAAGAAGGGAGTATGTAGATACAGATGGGGGATCAAAACGGTTGGAAAGCGAAAACGCAGTGAAATGAAGGGGAAGTAGCTGATTGAGTAATTAAAGAATAGGAAAAGATCAACCAAGAGAGGGAATAATCGCAAAAAAAGGAGTTCAAGGCTAGCTCAGTCTTTCCAGAGAACCATACAGCTCGGCGGAAAAAAGGAACTGAGAGCAATGGTGGGTGGGAGGAACATGTGCCTCGTGGGGGAATCACACCATAAAATTGTTACTTTTAGCTCTCGAATCTTCCAAGAACGTCAGCGCACGTGCAGACAGGACCCATATGTGTGCATTCACAGAGGCCATGAAGAAGAACCAGATATTTCCCTGCTACTTCATTCAGATCTGAATCATAGCAACAGGAGCCTTCTTACTGGCACATAAGATTGGTGATTATATATCTGTTACTGTAGCTGGAGAGTCCTGGGGATTTTGCAGATTGCTTACATAAAATTTAATAAGCAGCAGGTCAGGAAAAAAAACCATGCTCTTTCTCCTTTATAATCAGGATAGAGGCGCCATTTTGTGCCTACCTTTCATTTCAAAGAGCATGGCACTGTGTCAGACACTAATGCCCCAGACTCTGGAGACAAGGAAGGCGAAGATGTTCTTTTTTTTCCTACTGTGATAACTAAAAATCCTGCCAAAGCATTCTGTTCTATTATCCTGATGGCAGATCATTACTGCTGAAGTTATAGCTTGCCTAGAAATATACGCATAATCCATTTAGAGAAAAAGCCCACCATATGTTCTTCTGATATCACTAGCAGGGTTCATTCACACAGGCTGAGCTGAAGACCACAATTCATGATCTTTTCCTTCTGATTTGGCTCTTCAGATCATAGGACTACAAACTCTGCTATACGTTCTGAAATTGAGAGAACACTGCATCAAGGATGATGATGCATTAAGTGACACACTTCAGAAGTGCCATCCTGCAAACTCCATTGTATCCTGTGAAAGGAGAGTGATGGTAGACTCACAAAAGATTCTCTCACAGGAATACTCTTCCCAATGGGCTCTGCATAAGCTGAGGACAAAAGGATTATCTAAGAGAGAACCTTGGTTTCTTTTTACAACCTACATCACAAAAGACAGAGCCAGCTTATAAAATGTGTGACCAGCCGAAAGCAGGATGCCTAAATTACTTACCTCTCAGAGTTATGAGGATCAGTGTACCTTAAATAATACCAAGCCGAATCAACAAAGGTATCCATGGTGTCTGTTTCCCTTTTTGCAGGTTCCTTGCATCTAAGAAATACAAATTATTACTATTAGGGCTTGACTGAGATGAAATAGAGCCAGCTGGGGAGTTTTTATTCGCCTGCTGTTCTGTTGATGTTCTCTAGAAGGGCCAATATACACTGTACTATCAGTAATCCTCATTTATTGTGCAAACGTATTTCTAACTATGCACACAAAATGGAGGCCCACGGTTCTTGGCAAAGATGATGATGATACACAAGTCCCTGCTCTGCAAATCATATCAGAAGTGAAGGAATCAGAAATGAAAGTCACTCAGGAATTCCTATTCTGTTGCTTGTTCAAAAGCAGTCCTATGTCACCTTTCTTTGTTAAACCTTCCAAAACTGGGTCATAACAATAGACTATTTATTATGTCCTCGCTGTGGGTTAAACTGCTGAAGCCTTTGTGTACTGCAGGGTCAGAAGACAAAGCAGTCGTAAGATCAAATCCACGCGACAGAGTGAGCCCCTGTCGCTTGTCCCAGCTTCCACCAACCTAGCAGTTCGAAAGCATGCAAAATGTAAAAATGAGAGTAGATAAAAAGGCACCACTTCGGTGGGAAGGTAAAACGGTGTTCCGGGTCTAGTCACGCTGGCCACGTGACCACAGAGGATTGTCTGCAGACAAACGCTGGCTCTATGGCTTGGAGACGGGGATGAGCACCGTCCCCTAGAGTCGGACATGACTGGACAAAATTGTCAAGGGGAACCTTTACCTTTACCATCCTCTCCACCAGTGACAACATTCAGTGTTGATTCATTGATTTACATTTCTCCTGAAGTATGGTCAAACTTTATCAGAACTTCTGCAAGCAGGCAAAGACTTTTTTCTTTAGGCAAGCTTTCCCTCAGTGACTGGCTGCCTGAGTGGGATTTTCAAATGAATTGTTATGCCTTACTGCTTTGAATGTTGCTTTTGCCTATCATTTCTCAGAGTGGTATTTGTTTGATCCTTTTTAGTATTTGTATACTTGTTTTTACCGTAGCTTTAAATATTGTTTTTTTAATTATGTAAGCCACCTTGGTTCCTTTTTAAGGAAAAATACAGGGTAAAAATATTTTAATTTTTTTTTAATCTCCCAAATAAAAGGAATAGCAAAACCAGGTTGCTTATCCATGATTCTTCTCTGAGCAGTCATCTGTGAACCAATACCTGTGTGTCTAACAGTGCTTGTGTACATTCTGGAATCTTCTATGGCTGAGCCCAGTGTTTTTGTGGGAGCCCCACCCACTAGACTGTACATATCCAGGCATTTCCCTTCTGCCCCCCATTACCAGTCAGCTGTCCAAAGTTAAAAACAGTGTAGTTACTGGGACATCCCAAAAAGAGAAGGTTGGTTGTGTGAGTTCATAAAGAACAACAGTAACAGGTAAGCACCTTGCTTTTCTTCTTTGTGGTGTCTGTGATGCATATGTGTACTAGACTGGTGGATGGATGTCACAGAAAAACCAATGACAATACAGCTTTGTCAAACAAAGCATCATTTTGAGCTTTGTTGTCAAGTCTCTAATGCCTTACAAACATGTAAAGTTGGGACCCTGCTGCAGCACAACACGAGTCGGGAACTGGTGCTCCTGTAGACACTGCATTTGTTGAATGGCATTTGGTAGATTTAGGTAGTAAAGATTTTTCTGTTTATTTGCACTGGTACTTGGGATTCCAATTTCTAGAATTCTCCAGGAATGCCACAGATGGAATTCTATTTATCTTCTCCCTACCCAAACCCCTCCACTGTTCAGCCCAGAGACCCACATCTACAGGCACCCAAGGACATCTATATTTTGTCCATCTAACATCTCAAGCCTGGCTTTCTGTTGTTAATGTACAAAGAAGGAAGTTTTATTTCCTGAGAATGGCAGTTTTTTGGGAGACACATGTATAGGGCCTTAAAAGCAGCAAGACTCTCAAGAAGTACTATGGTAACTTCCTTTTTTGGACATGTAAAGCAGGATGCAAAGCCTAAGACATCCATGCAGCCTGTCAGATACACTAAGTTGCAGAGGAGTTAAATGTATTTATTTATTTGATTTATATCCCGCCTATCTGGCCCGCCGGACCACTCTAGGCGGCTTCCAATATAAAATCAGACAATAAGGTATCTGTAGGGGTGGATTTAAGTATTGTGCCATCTAGAATTCTGTCCAGAGAGTTTGTGGTGAATTCTGTGAGTTGGAATTAAAAAAAAACACAAATGGCACATTCTTACAATCTAAATCTATTAAAAGTCATTCAACAAGGATAATTTCTGGAGAATTCTGCAAGTTGGGAGTTCAAAAAAGCTATACACTACATTCCTATTACATAGAGGGAGACCTGCCAGTTGTTACACTAACTATATACAGTGGTGCCCTGCAAGACGATGTTAATTCGTTCCGTGAAAATTGCTGTTTTGCAAAAACATCATCTTGCGAAATGCGGTTCCCCACCGGAATGCATTGAAATCCGTTTAATGCATTCCAACGGGGAAAATCGTGGTTGTTTTGCAAAAATCGCCCATAGGAAAACCATTTTGCGAAGCGCAGATCAGCTGTCAAAATTGCTGTCTTGTGAAAAATGATCCCGAAAACACCCATTTTGCAAGTCGTGGATCCAGCTGTCAAAATCGTCTTGTGGAAAACGGTCCCCCTCCCCCAAAAAATCATCTTGCAAAGCATGGACCGAAACATCGTCCAGCGAAAATTGTCCATAGGAAACACTGTTTTGCGAAGCGCTATAGCCATTGCAAAAACTCATAGTCTAGCGAATAAACCGTTTTGCGAGGTAATAGTCTGGCGGGGCACCACTGTAACCAATATAGTCTATTTAGGCCATGTTTGGGTTGTCCAAATGGAGGTGTTCTGGTTCTAAGGGGAACTAAGTGCAACTAACTTCGTCTGGATGCAATAACTGGGCAGTCTTGAGTATGCAGTTCTCTCTTGCTTCTTCAAGCCCCAACTCTGACATTTCAAAATGTGTTGTAACAAAAGACGGACTTCTGAAAACTGGCTTACAGTGTTGGGCTGTACTGATATCCAACATGCTCTATGAGTCTTTTTGTAGGGAGAGGAAGAATGCCAACAAGATGCAGTTCTGGGTAGATCCATTGTTGGAGGACAGAATGTTACAAGGTTTGCCCTCAGTTTGTGTATATCCTCCCCAGACAACCTGGAAACACTGTGATCTAACAGCCAGCTTCCTGAATCCCAGATGTCTGTGGCCTAGTTCTGCTCATTCAAAGATCATCAGTATGTTCGCAGGAGAAAATAATCGATACAGTTCTTTTGAGACTGTCCTTGAGAATATATTGGGGAAGGTATATATTTGAATGCTTCATTTTGTAAGAAACTTCCACATGCAAAGTCAGTGGTGCATGTACCAAGTTTACAGGAAGATGTCAGTTATGTTTCTGCTCCACTTGTCCATTCATGGCATTACTGTTCTGACTTTGGCATGAGATAAAAAAGAACTCTCTAGGCTTACAAAATACTGTTTTAAACTTTTGATTTAATAAATCAAAACTTTAAAATGTTTGATAGAAAGAAAGGAGAGATATGCTAACTGACATGCTAATTTTCTGGGGTCCATGGAATGAATGTTGAGGATTGTTCCATCACAGCTGTGCAGCACCATTCTGAATGGGAAAAATTCTTAGAAGGACTGGAACATGTGACTCCTTTGAATGTGCAGGTTAGGCCTTTGGGGTGAGTTATATGCTCTGGTTAACTGAAGGAAAGGGAACAGACTGGAGCTCTGGGTGACAGCAGTGCCATTCATGAGCAGTCCTCCCTGCCAAGGTTTAAAGTAACTATACATTATTAGCTTGAAATAATTTTCGCTGAAGCTGGACATTGAAATTAATGTCCAAGACCTGCTTAAGTCCCGAGAGAAAGCTTTCTCTTACATTGCTTTGTAACGGTCTTTTAAAAAAAGGGATAACGTCCACATTGTGCAGATAGATATTATAAGGAATTTCTTTTGTTGCAATTTCCTAGTGCATGAATTCCTTTTTTATTCTGAAATGCCTTTTTCAACAATGTAAACAAAAAAATACGGAGGGAGCCTTGCAGAGGCACCTCATTACCACACAGAATCTCTTCACAAGCATTTGACTGTCCAGAGAATGTGACAGGTTTATAGCTACTGTGTTCTGAAGTGTGAATGGCTTGAGATCCCATATGGATCCAACCAGCAAGCCAAACAATACAGAATTAATCATGTCAACTCTGCTGAGAGCAATGTTCTATCAGATACACGATGAGGAAACTCTTCCAAGGATAAAGGTACATTCTGCCCCTTTCCACCCCCACTCGTGTAGCCTTTGAAAGTACAGCTCTCATTTCCCTAATGAATATGTAATTCTCTCAGTCTGAATTAGACTCTGTTGACCAAGCAAATAAAAGGCTTAAATCTAGTAGGCACAAAATCCTTTTTTGATCCAAAGAGCTGTCTGCCATGAACAACATGGAGCTCAGATACTTATTAAAAACACTGGGTTTAAGGATGACTTCGCAGAGTCTAATTTTCTAGTGCGAAGATAATGTTTTGGTACATAGAGCAGCAACTTTATTTATTTATTTATTTATTTGTTTGTTTGTTTGTTTGTTTGTTTGTTTGATTGATTGATTGATTGATTGATTGATGCCCTGCCTATCTGGACTACTCGTCCACTCTAGGCGGCTTACAATATAGGATAAAACAATAAACTCAAGAATGTGCATAGTGGTTCAATAACAATTGTAATAAAGCAGAAGAAAAAAATAAAGGAAAATAGAAAGAAATCAGGTATTGACTGGAGGGAAGGCCTGGATGTATAACCATGTTTTTAATTGGGTTTTAAAGATTCCCAGCATAAGTGGTGTGCGAATCTCTAGAGGGAGGTTGTTCCATAGGCGAGGAGCCACCGCCGAGAAGGCCCGGTTTCGTGTCTTCTCTTTCCGGGCCTCTCTTGGCATCAGGCTCCTCAGCCTCACCTCCTGACTCGCACGGGTGATCTGGGTAGACCTTGGTGGGAGTAAGCGTTCCGCCAAATACCGAGGTCCTAAACCGTTTAGGGCCTTATAAGTAAGAATTAAAACTTTGAAGTCAATACAGAAACGAATGGGCAGCCAATGCAGTGCGGCCAGAGTTGGAGAAATGTGTTGGTATTTTCTCACTCCAGTAAGGAGTCTGGCCGCTGCATTCTGCACCACCTGAAGTTTCCACATCAGCCTCAAAGGCAGCCCCACATAGAGCGCGTTACAGTTGTCTAATCTTGAGATTACAAGCGCATGCACCAAGGTAGTGAGTGCCCCCGTGTCTAGATAGGGCCGCAGCCGGGCAACTTTTCCCTACGAAGTATAAAAAAAGGTAATGTGAAGAGCAGATTTTGCTTGGGACTCATACAAGAAATTGAATGAAGATGCCTCATTTTCTCAGTTAGACAGATTAAAGGATGGGGGTCCACAGATATTACTTTGGGCTAAATTTAATTTCTAGTCCCAGCTAATACTGATGCATTGGATTCCAGTAATGTAACGTTATGTTCCATAAGCCTGATTATGTCATCAGCTGGGACCATATTTTGTTAAGAAAAAGTCCCCCCTCCCCAATTCCTAGGCTCTCTTAGAATCCCTTTGGTCCTGGGGGAAAACTTTCAAGACAACAGGACGGGGGGGGGGAGAGTTTTAAATGTCTAAAAATCATAGCTGCAGTCCTATAGTAGCCAGCCACAGCAATTTCCAAACATTTCAAACTCCCGCCCCTGCCAGATTTCTCAACATTTTTCTCAGTGATAAAAATAACCAAAAACATAGTAAAACTGAGAAGCATCAGAATGTAATTCAACCAAACAAAAAACTAATATAAACTTAAATGTTCTTCCAATGTACAGAAAATGTGTAGTATTTTATACTCACCTTGGACAAGTGCAATTTACCCAATGTGAAATGGAAGCTAAGGGTGAGCCGTCCTTTCTTGTGAAGGAGGTTACACTGGGAAGCTGCACAGGTAAGTCCTCATAGGGCACAGGAACAGGGCCGCAATTCTGGCAATGAATAATGGGAATAGGTGTTCCCCAGTAACGCTGCCGCGAGATCAGCCAGTCTTTTAACTTATCACTTGTTAGATGTCCTCCAATTCCTTTACTTTTTGCTTGTTCTGTTATTGCATTTAATGCCTTTTGTCTGCTCATGCCTGTGAACTGATTTAAAAAAAGAGAGCTTCCATAGATACATTGCACTGTTCATACTGTCACAGTCATGCTCTTATATGTGAGAAGTTTTCCTCCACCCACAGTTAAGAAAATCCATAAACTGGGATTTTGAGCAGCCGGCGACCATTTAGAAAAGCCGATGATCAGCTGTTTTGATTGTCGTAATGTGAAGAATCGGTTCCCGAAGCAGGGAACCGATCATCGCAAAGTGAAAAAACCCCACTAAAACATCGCCGTGAAACAGATTCGTCATTATATGGGGTAATCGTTAAGCGGGGCATGACTGTATAGCTGTGACCCCACATATATGTTTAGACCACAATCATCCATCAGTATTAAGATATATCATACAACAGGGAATATATTTCCTTTTTAAAGGGGCTACATCCAGGCTCAGCCACACCTAGGATACATTCAATGTTATGTAAAATGTTTTATCTTTTTTATTGCATTTAAATTCTTGTAAGCCGCCCAGAGACCTTTGGGTAATGTGGGTGGCATATAATATTTTCTAAATAAATATGGAGTTCCCTTTTTGAACAATGCATTAAAACTATCCATGTCTGGCCATACAGAACGTATTTTTAAGTATTTTAGTAAATATTAATTCTGCTAAACCCTAAGGAAAATACTTGACATTCTTAATTAAATCTCTTTACTTGCACCATGTTCCCCAAGAACCATCTTGGCCAGGAGCCATATTAAGATATATCATACAACAGGGCTATATTTCCTTTTTAAAGGGGCTACATCCAAGCTCAGCCACATCTAGGATACACTCAACGTTATGTAAAATGTAGTTTGTTTCCAAGAAAAAGGGCTGTCTCCTCCTATTCAACCCTGCTATGTCCCTGGTGCTGTTTGAAAATTTGCTCCCCAATCCTCTGAGGGAGATTTTGAGGGCACACATGGGAAAACTGCTGTCTCCTACTATAGCTGAAACTGTAATGGAAATAATTAATAATAACCAAGGCCTATGATGTCAGTCGGTCTTTTCCAAACATGACTAAATCCAGATCCAGACCGATCAGTTTAGCTCTCCTGCATCACATAAAAAACAGACATAGAAAATTCCTAGTTGAGGACTCTATTTCACCATGACAAATACAGGCCTCATTCTCTTTGTGGCATCAACTCCACTGAGAAGAAGCTATGCTTCTCTTAAAATGTGTCAGGTTTTAAATTTATCAGGTTGGCCTGAGACAGCATGGAGAATACTGGATGATAAAAGCAGAAACTCACAGTAGTGCACCAACCTCTCCAGAGTTGATCAACCTCTCTGAGCCATCTGATAATGTTTCAATGACTTCTTCAAATGGCAGGTTCAAATTCCTAGCTACTTCAGCATCATCTGATCTTGTGCAAGGGATTCCTGGAGCGTAGGGGAAAAAAACCCCAAAAAATTCTTACACAGTTCTCAAAGAGATAGTGCCACTTTTGGGGTTTTAAAATTAAAGGCATGTTCAAGCAGCTCTCCTGTGTACACTTTCAGTCTTGTCAAACCATGATTCTTTGTTTTTTTCAGCCTATAAAATCAGACCTCAAAATCAAAACGATCTGTACTTCCATTAAACTGAAATGCTCTGCATTCATCACCATCATAATCCTTAGCAAAAGCGATTCAGTATGTATTGACAGATAAATTTGTCCTTCTCATCATCTTGGGCTTTACATGGCAAAGGCAGAAGTGATATGAAACATAATCTCTCTTATCTCAGCCAGTTTTCCCCCCACTGGCTTACAGTTGAACACTTTTGTACTGGCCTGTACTTGAACAAATTAAATTTATGTTATAACTCAGTTTCAATGTACAGTGGACCCTCGACTTACAGACTTTTCGAGTTACAAACTTCTCTGGCTGCAAAGTTTAGGTTCGACTTGCAGCCAGAGAATCGACTTACAGACCAGAAAAAAACCAAAATGGAACAAAAATGGAACAAAAATGGCCGGTTATGGATTAATCGGTTTTCAGTGCATTGTAGGTCAATGGAGACTTGACCTACAGACTTTTCAACCTGCAGCCACCATTCCAATACAGATTAATTCTGTAAGTAGAGGGTCCACTGTACTCATTTACAAGGTTCTATCCTATTTCAAGTGCAGGTTAGACTTAAAAGACCCATGATGACACTACTTCTCTAAATCTAAGAAACAGGATGAGTAGGGCTTCCCTGTATCGTTCTTGAAACTGCAACTTCACATGCTGTAGATAAATATGCTTTTGAAGTGGAAGGATGCTTCAAACCCTATTTGTGTGACTGGATTAAGGGTGGATGTCAGCTGTTACAGAAGACTAGGGCAAAGATTTCCAATGAAAATTAGGATTAACAGGTGGGACTTGTAATCAACTGTTATAGTGTTATGCTGTTCAGAATTCTACCCAGCCAGTCAACCCAATATTTCAGAATATTCCACTGCATTTTCTATTCCTCTACAATCTTCTGATTTGTTCCTCCAATAATTAATCAGTAGCAACATTTTCTCTAATTTTCAGCTCTGCTGGGCAGGGCTCACCCCCTCGCGTATGCAGGTCCGCTCCGCCCCTGTGTGAGACTCACCCCCCCCAATGTGGGGTTTCATCATGATTGGAACCAAAGGGGCTGGAAACAACTGCTTTGGGTTCATGGAGGAGGAGGAGCCCTGTACAGAAGGGGGGGGAGTCACTCGTGCAGCTGCCCACATTAGAGGGAACCTTGATCAGCAGCCTCTAGCTATTGAATATGCTCAGTACTTATTGGAATCTTTAAGGTCCTTGTCTCTGTCAAGAATATTTTCCAGGCCTGAGCAGAACAAGGTGTATTAATGAGTGACCATGATGAACAGGTGTGTACTAATGATGAGTCATGATGAGTCATGAGTGCTGACTCATACATGATGTAATGTCTAATGTGATTGGCCACAGGCAGATGTGCATAAGTATATATATATATCTACCTGTATGGTAGATGTACAGTATTTTCCTATTCTGTGATGAACACTATCCTGTTATGCTGCCAGACTGCACTGCTGTATATATCCTGTAAATACATGCTGGTGTTGGGAGAAGCTGCCTGTGTGTGTGTGATTTATTTGGACTTCCTGGACTGGACATTACTCTGCTGATTCTACTGAATTTCCACAATTTTGCGCTAACAAGGGGTTATGGGCCCAGCGACGCCTACCTTGCGCCAAGGAAGCTGGTGAGTACCAGAGGGTGCTTTAGAGGCATATGGAAGAAGTCCAGGGAGGTGAGAGTTCTGCCGTTGAGAACCAAGGAGGGGAAAGAAAATGGAGGACCGAGAGAAAAGGCAGCAGCATGCAGTCGTTTGGGGAAGCAGGCGGGGAAGGCTTTCCCTTAACAAGGGTGAATGAAAATAATTATCAGACATGGGCAGTTAAAGCTGAAATGTTGTTAAGAAGGGAGGACTTGTGGCAGATAGTTCACAATCCCCTGGCCGTGCTTGATGATGAAGAAGAAAGGCTAAATGAGAGGGCTTTAACCACAATAATTCTATGCCTGGAGGACAGCCAGTTAATCCATGTGTGTGAACTGACTTTGGCTAAAGAATGCTGGCAGGCTCTGAGACAAATTTATGTCAGAGATACAGCAGGAACAAAGGTGTCTTTGACCAGAAAACTATATAGAGCCAGACTTGAACGAGACGGGAGCATGTCTGAGCACCTGCAGAAAATGAAAAACCTCTTTATAGAGCTTCAGCAGAAAGGCGTGGTGTTTACGGAAAGCCACCAATTGTATGTAATCCGAAGCAGTCTCCTGGAGGACTTTGATGCATTGGTGACTAGTCTGGAGTCCATGCCAGATGATGATTTAACCATTGAGTACCTAACAGGCAGACTGCTGGAGGAGGAGCAACGGAGAAGTGAAAGATCCGAAAATAAAGTGAGAGATGACAGCCCACAGCGGAGGCGAGAAAACAGCCCACAACAAAGAATTGCTTCCAGGAGGGGAGAGCAGACAAGCAAGGCTTTGACAGTAAGACGCTGTTTTAAATGTGGTTCTGAAAAACATTTACAGAGAAACTGCAGAGAAGCTGGCCATGGAACCGAAAGAAACAAGGGAGGATTTCTCTTGTACAGGCTTGTAAAGCCAAGGTCCCCAGCTAGATACTGGATACTGGAGCTGTGTGCCATCTAACTAACAAAAAAAGATTTATTTTATTTTCTAGGAGCCTCGGAGCACAGCTTTGTGAGCTTAGCAAACGGAGAGAAGTCTGCCGTCACTGGAGAAAGGACTGTGTTTGTACCAGGCTTGAAAAGGGAACTTAGAGGTGCTTTACTAGTTTCAAAACTGGATTGTAATATCCTAAGTGTGTCTAGCCTTGAAAAAGAAGGTTATTCAGTGTCATTTGTTGATAGCACTTGTACAATTAAGAAAGGAAACAAAATATGTGCCTCAGCAAAGCTAGAAAATAATTTTTATGTGTTAAAAGGTAAAACAGAAAACATTGTGAAACATGATATGATTAGGAACACACCTCAACATGATCAGTGTGCCCACTTAATGCATAGAAAGCTTGGTCATGCAAATTTTAGAGTGATTCATAAAATGCAAAGCTTGGCTAAAGGTATAAAAATGAAACCTTGTAAAATTATTTAGACTGCAATATGTGTAAACTTGCAAAATCAAAAGAATGTCCAAAAGCCAAAGAACGTACTAGTCAGACACAAAGGCCGTTTCAGTTAGTTCATGCTGACATAATTGGGCCTTTTGCGCCATCTATGGGAGGAGCGAAGTACAGTGGTGCCTCGCTTAGCGATTGCCTCGTTTAACAATGTATTCGCTTAGCGATGGGTTTTGTAAAGAATTTTCCACATTGTTTAATGATGTTTCCTATGGGCGATTTTTGCTTAGCCATTTCGGGACCGTGCTTCACATAGCGAATGTGTTTTGGGTCCCCTGTTTCGCTTAACGATGTCCGTTTTTGCAATTTTAAAAGTGTCTTAAAATGTTCAAAAACTGTTTTAAATGCTCGGAATCGTTAGTGCACCTTCTAAAACGTGTGCAAATGTAATTTGGCTTTGTTCTGACTCTTCGTTAATTTTTGGTGAATTTTTTTCTCCCGCATTGGAATGCATTGAACCCAATTTTGACTGCGAATTCCCCCCCATTGGAATACATTTAACCTGATTTTGACAGCTGTCATAATCGGGTTAAATGTATTCCAATGGGGGAGAAAAAAATTCACCAAAAATTAACGAAGAGTCAGAACAAAGCCAAATTACGTTTGCACACGTTTTACAAGGTGTTCTAAGGATTCCTAGCATTTAAAACAGTTTCTGACTCTTTGTTAATTTTTGGTGAATCTTCCCCCCCATTGACATGCATTGAACCCGATTTTGACAGCTGTCATAATCGGGTTAAATGTATTCCAATGGGGGAGAAAAAAATTCACCAAAAATTAACGAAGAGTCAGAACAAAGCCAAATTACGTTTGCACACGTTTTACAAGGTGTTCTAAGGATTCCTAGCATTTAAAACAGTTTCTGACTCTTTGTTAATTTTTGGTGAATCTTCCCCCCCATTGAAATGCATTGAACCCGATTTTGACACCTAACAGTCTCCTAGTGAGGGACTTTCTTCATATGTTTGTATTTCTATAAGCCTGTGGTTTTAGGGGACTTCTGATAACACCTCACTATTGCTTGTTTGGGTGAGAGGTGCTATTTCAGTGTCTTAAGGACTGTGCTGAACATGGAGAAGCAAGGTTGCTATTAGTATTTTTCAAAACAGATGGGTCATACAATTTGTTTATTTCCACAATATTACATTTTCCATATATTTGTATTTATTTTTACTGATATTTCAGATAAAGGTTTTGTGTTATATATGTGTCTCTTTAAAGCTCAATAAATATAACAGTTAGATAACTATGACAGGAGAAATAATTTTTTTTCTGTATTTAACATCATCTGGCAAGTAGAGGACATATATGTAAATCTGTAAAATAAATTATGCATGATATGGAGAAAGAGGATATCTTTCTCCGTGTCTTATGATACTAGAATGTAGGGTTATCCAACAAAGGCAAATAAGGAGAAGGGAATTACTTCTCCACAGAGCACACAGTAAAAATGTGAAATTCCTAAGACGTGACTACTACCAGCTTAGAAAGTTTTTTTAAAAGAATTAAATAAATTCATGTAGGAAAGGTCTATCAATGGCTATTAGCCATGACTACCAGTCTCAGAGACAGCATGCTTCTCTCTATCAGTCATTGAGGAATGTGAGCAGAGGTGTGTTCTTCTACCCATATACTGCCTGGGGGTTTCCCACTGACATCTGACTGGCCACCGTGTAGATAGAATGTTGGGACCCACAGGTCTGTGGTTTGTTACAGCAGGACTCCTCAAACTTGTCATTACACCCCTTTTGGCCTCTGGCCTACAACCTGATCAGTTATAACAAGTCAAGGAGGAAGACTGGTGATAGGAGGCAATGAAAAAAGCATGTCTGCCTTATTTCTTGCTGCACCAGATTTCAAATCACCTAATTGCTTTCCAGCTTTGAAATTAGCAAATCCAGTAGTAGTTGCATCAAGTGCAATACATCGCGAATACATCAAGTGCAGAGAGTTATTTCTCCTTTCACAGATGCTTCTAGAAGCTATAAATGGCAATTTCAGCAGCTTCAGTTCTCAGTCCTATTATTTAAATACATTACCTTGAAACAACTATGGTGCTGGGGCTTTGCACTCACCTATTTTAGCCTCAAGAGACCCTTCAAATTCCAATTTGGCTGATACAACTACAGGAATCTCCTGATGAGTGAGCAAATTGATAGCTGTCACTGAAATGAGAGAGTCTACAAAAGAGTAAATTATAATATTATAATAACAGAAACACAATGTCAAGAATCTTCACTTATTACTACATAAGTCTATCTCTGTTTTGTTACTAAATCCTCACGAAGTAGCCCTTGGAGATCAGATGTTACCTTGCTCAAAGCAATACTGTACTGGCAATTTTGAATGTAATTAGTTTCCAATGCAAAGCTTCCTAAGCTACTCAAAGCTTTTTAAGATTCATTTTGTACCTTTCTCTTCTCTTCTTGCTGCCCCTTGAGAAAAGAATGATTATTCTTTAAGGGTAACGTTAAAGTGTTGTAGAAATCACAAACAATATTAATGCAGAAGTGAAGGCAAATACATAAAAATCTTAAGGTCTATGTATTTTTGTCATTACACTGGAAATGGTTTCCATATGTACATTTAGAATGACTGCCTCTTAATTGGGGTTATGTTTTGATTTTTCTATTTTCTGTCACCATTTGATTTTCAGAGAGCAGCTTTCAGCTTTTGATTCAGAGAGCTGTCTTCAATTTTCAGACAGTTTTCTTCCATCATAACGTAGAATTGCACAGTTGAAATTCTAAGTTATGGACCATGAAGTCCAGCCCTCTCAGAGAGGTATGGTGAAGAATCAAACTCCCAACCTCTGGTTCCATACTTAACCCCTGAGCTTTGGAGAGTGTAATTCTGCTTTGTGTCAAAAGGTGTCACTGTTGAATGTACCCTTTTCTCCAAAGACTGATACAATATTCTACAATTCTCTATTCTGATGAATCGAAGTACTAGCAAATCCAACATGTCTGTGTTTCTGTCTGGGGCCACGGAACATACAAATGGACTTGGGGGACTACATACGTTTCATCCCATGCACTGCATAATATTCATCCTTGATTTAAGATGTCGCAGAAGTCTTCAGTTGTTCCACCTATAATGAAGCACTGCAGCTTATAGTTGTTGTTTTCAGGTGACAGGAGGACTAACAGCATTTCACCTGATCCTATAAAGCAGTGGTTCCCAACCCTGGGTCCCTAGATATTCTTGGACTGAAACTCCCAGAAGCCTTCACAGAAGCTGCACTGGACAGGATTTCTGGGAGTTGTAGTCCAACATCTGGGGACCAAAAATTGGGAACCACTGCTATAAAGCTTCATATTCTAGCTTGGCTTTTCATATAAACAAAGTATAGCGCAAACCAGTAGGCTGCCATACTGTGCATGCCTGCTTGCCTACTTCCCTTTGCCTCTCCCAACCTGTCTACTCGTAAACATTTTGGGACTATCCCTGAAACATATAACTCAGGCTATATATTTATGCTATCTTTTGCTACTGTATTTGTAAAACATTACATGTAAGCGAACCCATTTTACTCAAGTCTGATCCTGCCAGGCTACACAAACAATTTACTGCCTCAAAACTGATAATGGGGAAAAATCACCTTTGCCTGGAATGAACTCCTTCTGAAAGTCTTCCTTCAAACTACTATTTCCATGCAGCAGTCTGTGGCTAGGTAAGATATATAAATGGGACATGCCATATACAGCTTCAGGTGTATATGTATAAGCTGCTATTCTCTCTCCTGTTGGCTTGTTATTAATCTGAGGAAAATACAGGAAAAGTTACTGCAATTTTCTCTAGAGCAACATATACAATTGCCACTTGTAGACACCTTTAACTCTGTTTATGAATTCTGCACAGATGTTTTGAAGTCCATAGTCTGCACCTGAGCACAAAATGGCTCAGTTCAGACATAAATCCAAACCATGGTTCTTCAGATTAATTTTAGCTTGTTTGTATACTCAGTCCTAGCCAGACTCAATAACTGTTATTCTGGGCCAAAAAATCAGTATTGTAAGCAATGGATTGAAGCTGGCCTTTAACTCCTGGTTTGTATTAACAATGGTTTATTGTTACATCCAAACTCAGTGTCCTGGCTAAATCTCAGCTTGTTGATTGTTCTGCCCTAATTGGTTCTTGGTTCCTGAGACAAAGGACTAGAATTAAACTACTCATGGGAATTAAAAGAATCTCAGTAGTACTTTCACAGACTTCTGTAACCTTCCTCGCTCTGGATGGTAACAAGTTCCTTTCTCTGCCATGTTCTTCCTGACATGCTGTCCCTCTCCAACTCAGTTTTCAAGCCCTGCTGTAATGCTGTCAGCAGAGCCTGGAAGCAGGAAGCAACGAGGAACACAGCTATTGTAACTAGCTACTTTTTGGGTAACGGAGGTAACAAAGTTGGATTTCCAAAGTACCATAGATCAAACTTACAAAGTAATATTTTCCACTTAACAGTCAAAAATTACTTTTAAAAAACATCCAAAGAATTTTTAAAGGTATATTTTAGAGACAAGATTTCTGTTTAGAAACAAAGGTGTGGTGTTTTAGGACTGCTTTTAACTGAGAAGAATGGTACAGTCTCTCTGAGAAGAACATCCATGATGTTTCTCAAATAATTTCAGCAGCTGGCCAAAAGTAAAAAGACTGGAGATACTGCGCAACAAAAGATTTTGGTACAGCAACCAGGTATTTGCAGAGGCAAGGGACATGCAAGAAAACAATGTTAGTGGGAGAAACTGTGGTTTGCTTGACTATCTGAGAGGCAGATTTTACTTTGTTCCACCAACTCTGTCTGCCTTACACTCTATGGCTTAGTATTACAATCAAAGCAGAACAATAATGACCTAGAATGTAATCCTACGGATATTTACTCAGATGTCAATCCACTTATGCTCAGTGGTGTGCTTAGGACTGCAGCCATAAGTACAAATGTTAGTAGAGATAATGGCTTTCAAAATAATCTTGGTTATACAAATTATTGCCAAACAGCCCTGCAGTTCTAAGATGATGATGATGATGACAGTCCTTCAAGGAAATCACTGAGTTCCATACAACTTGGAACAGGTTGATCAAGCAGATGCTGATCATTGAGATCTGTCCTTAAGAGCTACTTTTTGGTCCATTTAAGCATCAGAAAGCCAATACAGGCTAACTAACATCCAATTTATATCAAATGAAACTGCTATTGCAAATAGTTTGTAGACAAATATACTAGACTCTAGTATAACTAGCCAGGTTACAAACTGTTTACTAACTAACATTAGCACAAATGCAGCACCAGAAACATGGTTAGATCAATAGAAATAACCAATAGAAATGAATTTCAGCAAATATAGAAGCATGTAACTCAACAACATGCCTGAACTCTTAACCACAAATGGAAGAGTGGACAGCATTACATCTGCATTGAGCCCAACTCAGGAGCACTAAAATGGGGATTTCTTTGACCATATGTTGGTATCCCAAAATATTCAATTCAGAGAATCATCACTCCACATTGACCAGATATAATTTATAATATCTGAGTTCTAGTCTAACATTTTCAGCCTTCTGTAGCATACCATGAGAAATACCACTGCAATTTTCAGTCACTGGACTCACCTTTAAGATAAAGTCAAAATAGCACCCACAGCACTCGCCTAGCCAATGGGCTTGCATTTCTTTTATTCCATACCACTTGGGGAGATCTGACAAACCATCAGTCATGGCCTGAAGGAAGAAATGGTTAAAAATTCAAACACAGGTAAAGACTATTTGTCCAAACATGATCCTGCAATCCCTTTCTAACAACTTGGAAGCTTTCCTCTTCACTCCTATCTTTTCTTTTTCCCCCCTCTTTTTGAGAAACAAAGACTCAAAATCTCAAACTCAGATCCTGGAAACACTGCAGAAGCCATGGTGCAGAGCAGCCTTACTTTGAGTCCTCCTGTTATGCTGGACAACAACTCCTATCATGCACCAGCCAGTGGCTGAAATGACAGAAGTTGCTTTCCAAAAGTTTTGAAAGAGCACTGAAGAAAGCACACAACTAGTTGTTCCCTATAACATGGAAATGGTAGCTTTTTTGCATTTTATTATATTGTAAGAGATAATAAGACTCTGATGCTAATAAACTTTACACATGTGACTGAAATATAATTGAAATAATATTAATTTTCTTCCTACTTGAAAACCTACTTCTATCTTATTATATTCTTCTTGTTTATTATTGTCAAAATTTCAGCAAACTGAAATAATACATATAAAATATTTTAGCATTTAAGATATGCCACCAACTCTCACTTACTAAGAACAACCACATATCTTGTTCCATGTTTTCCTCCTGAAGATGCTAGATTTGACTTGCTGTCAAGAAAATACTATAACTTTCACTCCCATTCCCAATCACCAAGTAACAGTGAATATACACATGTGAAGTGAGAAAAAAAACCCCTCAGGAAGTCATTGGATATGAGATTCATGTTTTCAAAAACTATGCTTTACAATTCTTGTCTTCCATTCAGGGCACAGAGTTGAAGATCAAAACTTTCACATTCAGAAGAACAGAAAAAAGATGACTTTAGATATTTGGTGCCTCAGAAAAGAAGTACAAATAGCACTTGGCACTCCACCAAATGGATACAAAGATAAATTCAATAACTGAAACAATTTCCAAAAAGGAAGTAATGTTAGTCTATTGTCACAAAAACAATGACTTCAAGGCATCTAATGTGCAGCAGCTGACCACAATCAGCTACAATGGGGGAAAAAGAAATCCCTTTTTACTATTGCTTCAATGGTTACCAGTCCACTTCTGATCACAATTCAAAGTGGTGGTTTTGATCTACATAGCCTTAAATGGGACCGGGATATCTGAGGGACCGTATGTCCTCATAGGAAAGTCACTGAGCATTAAGATCTTTGCGGGGGGCTATTTCCTTGCCCCCCTCCTTCTCAACCTTACACATGTGCTTGGTAAGGATGTGTGACGGGGACTGTACAGTAGCTGGTCCTCTACTGTGGAAGTCCCTTCCATAGCAGGTCAGGCTGGCCCTCTCCCTGCAATCTTCTTTTCTGTGGGCAAACAAAGATCTGCCTCCCACAGATGGAATTTGCACAGGACATGTTGTACGTTTTGTCTTTTAAAATCTGCCTTTAAACTACTACAAACAGTTTTTATTCAGCAGTTTCAATGTCCTTAATTGTTTTATTATTATACTTTTGGGGGCAAAATTATGGTGAAAAAGTGAATGATGTTACATGAGTAATGTTTAATTTAAACAAATTGAAAACTTCATATCCTTTTCCCTTTCAGATCCTGAGGCTCTGTAGGACTCGGTTTTGTTCTCAGGAGGCTTTTGCAAGTCTTGGCTCTCTCTCCCTCTCTCTCTTCCTCTCTCTATGTTGTGTCTCTGTCACAAGGGATAATCCAGCAGCATTTTTGGCATATCAAAGCCACCTTCCATCCCATGACTCCCCAAAGGCTTCCTCAGTTGAAACTGGGAGACAGAATGTTTTTAATTTGTCTAAACATTACTGGTGCCAAATGACTGGCATCCAGTTTGCCCCATGTAACTTTAGCCAACTGGATTTTGGTCACTGTATTTTAATATTGTTCCTTTAAATATGTTATAAGCCACCTTGGATCGCTTTGTGGGGGAAAAGGTGACATATATACAAAATGAAAAGTAATTCTTTATTAATGCTATTATTAAACTGATAAATTCACACTTTGCCCTTCCTCAAAAAAGTTTGAAACAGTCAATAACTTGCATGTATACGGTACACTTGAACAGGGAAAGTTGTAAAGAATTATTTATGTAGACCTCTATTTTTTTCACCAGTTGACCATTTGCTGTCCTTGAATAGCACCAACACATTGGTCACTGACTGGTTGATGACTGAGATCTGCCTTGCTCCATCTAACAGTAAGTCAACCACTGGGAGAAAATTTAATGGAATGGGCAAGCAATCCAATTTTGTGGAAAGAAAAGACATGGAAATTGCACTTCGCAAGAGCCTAAGAAGCCCTCGCAAATGACTAAATAAAATTCCCACAAAATAATAAGAGCAGAGATGTAATATACGGAAATGAATCCAAAGGGTAAATACGGATGCAGCTAAAGGTTAAAATGCAATCAAGCACACATTAAGAACAAATCATCAGTAAGCAGCACTTACATAATGCACCAAGGCAACAAAGGAAATAATAAGTCATTATTTGTATTGAAAATGGAAGCGGATATTAGAACAATCTGTAGCTTTAGAAGGTAGAATGAGCCATTACAAAAAACAGGAGTTCCTATAAAGATAGGCATCATGTGGCTTTTAGGCCCTACCCCCAAGAAATTTGTGTGGCTGGTGAGGCCCGTCAAGTTTGTATGTGTATAAATATATTCTGAAATTAATACATTAACTATTTTAACAAAATACACCCACACCCACAAACCCACCTTGAAGGGATGTGTTAAAATAATATTCTAGGAACACAAATAGCCATTTATGGCAACAGGCAGCCAGAAATGGCTATTTCTTCTGGAAGCCTCCAGAAGCAGTTTTCATTTTAGTGCCCTTGCAGAAGTACTCCTAAGGAAACCAGTCCCCAAAGTAGAAAGAAAATATGTCCCCATGTGGCCACTTCCTGCATACTTTAAAAAAAAAGCCAGACAAATCAATTTCTGGGCCTGCTGTGGCCTACGGTGGAGACTGGGAGCAAAGTTCTACCCTCAGTCTCCCTAAGCTTGCCCACCCTGACAGGGAGAGTTATGTTTTTTTCCCACAAGTTGGAACCATTTGAAAAATCACCTCATTTGATAAACAATGTTTATCAAAAGCATAAAGCATTCCTTAAAACGCTACTTCAAACCAATAATGGGATGAATTCTAAGAAATTTACAGCACACAGATTTTGCATGGCATTTTAGAGACTAAGAAAGAGAAGAGACTATATTGCTCTTGTGAAGGGCTGATGAGTTGTTAAGTGCATTGCAAAATGTGAATCAGAGAGAAATATAGAAATAATATTATTGTTTATGTCTAGTACTGTATGTATTTGCTTAATACACTCAGAAATATACAAATTATATGATTTCATTCCACAAATGCCTATCATATTTAACTTATATTTTGATCAACCAATACCATGGCACACTCATTTGTGTTCTCCCATAATAATGTTAGAAACAGATCCATGACTGAAAGAGTAAAGAACAGTATTAAGTACTGTACTTACTTTCTGATGCAACTGTTACACAACTCTCTGCTTTGGAGCCCACATCTGGAATGATCTCCCCACTGAGATCAGATGGGTTCCCAATATAGATTGTTTCCCCTGCCAGCTGAAGATTGAGACGTCTGTCCATACATTTTTCCTGATCATTAATCTAGTCAGTTATCCCATGGGATTTTAATAAAACATCTGATTGTTAAATTGTTTCTTCATTATTTATTGTATGACTATTACAGTTTTTAACATTGTAATATAGTAAAGAGCCTTGGACGTTTTAAAATATTTTCAGTTCCAAAGTATAAAAATGCCTCAAAGCATACCTAAATAAACTGGACATGGTTCTTGATAAAATACATCACGAAAAATATTTCTATGGCCACTTCAAATGCTTGCTAAGCTATGAAAAAATCGAGACTATTTATGTACAAAATCCTTGGCAGGACAATATCATACTGTGATTTCAGATATTCTTATGGTTCTCACTTATTTTGGATGCTACCACAGCTTGTCTTAGTACACACTACTGTGTCTACCAAGAACCCCAAATATCTTTAGAAGCTGGAGGGTGGGCACAAGAAGATACAGTACTGGGACGAAGCTGTCTGTCACACAAGAAACACCTAACTTGGTAAGACAAAGGAAACACTCAATAACAAATACAGCTTAGCTCCCTACAAATGTCTCTTGCCATCTCAATTCCCATTCTGTATTCCAAGGAGCTAAGAGGTTCCTCAGATTGACCTCACATAACAAATCAAGGGGAGAAAGGGGATGTGTTTCAGGGGTCTCAGACCCATTTCACCTGCTTTCTGGAGACAAAACTCATCTTCTACACCAGTGGTTCTTAACCTTTGTTACTTGGATGCTTTTGAACTGCAACTCCCAGAAACCCCACTCAGGACAGCTGGTGGTGAAGGCTTCTGGGAGTTGCAGTCCAAAACTCCTGAGTAACCCAAGGTTAAGAACCAGTGTTCTAGACCACTGGTTCCCAAACTTGGGTCCTCAGATGTTATTTGACTAAAACTCCCAGAACCCTTCATCACTAGTTGTGCTGGCCAGGATTTCTTGCAGTTGTGGTCCAAGAAATCTTGGAGACTCAAGACTGGGAATCACTGTTCTAGACTATCCAACATAAAACAAAGCGGGTGGAAGAGACTGTGCATGCCAGACTAAGCTGGTCCCAATTTAGTTATCTGGTCTGCTGAACTATGGTTTATTGGCCTCAAAATTAATTCAGTATCTGTGCGTGAGGATGAGAGTAAAACCAGGGATACTCTCCAGGGTGTACCGTCCGACTCCCACATCAACAGAGCAGAAGAAGAGACAGAGATCATTGAAAGAGGGTTAAAGCAACTGGAAATAAGTACAGAAGCACCAGGGGGCGCTAATTTGGCGGGAAAAGGGGAAGATAGAAAAGAGGGGAAGGAGGAGGGGAGAGCAGTCTGAAAGAGGAAAAGAGAGAGGTGTGTTGGGCTGAGGAGGATATTACAGAGAAAAGAGA